GCCTGAAGTAGAGACCTGGGCCTTGACTTGGACCTGGGCCTTGGCTCTAGTACCACCACTGCCACTCAAAAAGTCACTTTGCACTTCCTTGCAAAGTGGCAGTATTACATAGGTGTGCCTTGTGGGCACAAGCCTTAGGAAATTGCACGATTGCCCCTACTGTGCCGCAGTCCCTGGGATTAGCCACACACCACTTAACTTCCAGGCCATGTTCTCTTTCTGTTGACAGGTCTTTGCAGCCTAGTGAGGTTGCTCCAGGTTACATGAGATCTTCATTCATAAAGTTGGCTTTGGAGAATGCTCTTCCACACACTCCACTGCCTCCAAAAACCATGTGAAAGCACATCCCATTTTTGTGCAATGTTCAGAGGGTTTAGAGACCGTATGAGAGCATGGTCTTCTCCTATGACTTCCACAGGGGCTGGAGACCGTATGAGAGCACATCCCATTCTCATTTAGCTTCTGAAGTCTCCAGAAAATTGTTTCAAGAAGAGTTGTCAGTGGTGTGCCACTCAAAATGTCATAGCATGTCACTTTTGACACGTGTCATATATTTGCCATCACTGTCCTAGACCAGGACAGTCCTAGACCATAGATTGGCTCCATAGACCCCCTCTGGTCCATGGAAATATCTTTCTCTACAGAACCAGTCTCTGGTGCTCAAAAGGTTGGGGCCACTATCCTAGGTTCGTATGAAGAGAAAGAGCAGCCATAGATCAAAGAGTGTTTGCATAAATCTATGTTGTGTAGTAATTGTACTTATTCAGGGACTGGAAGGCCCTACTTACAGTCATTCACATCTTGGTCAGCTCTCATCCAGATAACTGCAGTGTACATGAGACTGCTCTTGAAGACCATTCAGAAGCTACAGTTGGTTCAGAATACAGTACACCTTGGTACACCTATATCATACTGCTACTTTGCAGGCTGTACTGGTTACCAGTGGGCTTCTGGTACAATTCAAGGTGCTTGTCTTGTAATTGCCTTTGCCTGTACAATAAGATCTGGCATGCTCCAGGTTTCATCATTTGAATAATGTCACTGTTGCTGGATCTATTGTATGTAGGTGACTCAGTGGTTATGACACTGGGTCTTAGACTGCTAAAGGTCTACAGCTTGGCAGTTTAAAACTTGAGAGTCATGAGATGGAACGAGCTCTTGTCACTTGTCCCAGCTCCTGCCAACCTAGCAATTTGAAAAAATGCAATGCAAGCAGATGAATAGGTACTGCATATAAGTATGCGGGAAGGTAACAGCATTCCATTATTTCACCATACTTTTTGTGCTATGGCATGTACGTTTTGTGCCGGCGCATGACCATGGAAATGTCTCTGGACAATGCTAGCTCTTTGGCTTAAGAAACAGAGATGAGTCAGTCATGTCTAATGGGGTAAAATCCCCAGGGACACCTTTATTTTTTTTTCTTTATTTACTGAATGAGATTGTATTCCCCTCCAGGTCAGGATGATTCTGACCCTGCATGACTTCTGAAAGGACTCTGAAAACTTGTTTTTGTCCAGAGCATTGGTCAGGAGGTTGTGTAAGTTCATCTTGATTGCTTCTGGTTATTTGAATTGCCTTTAGAGCGTTACGTTTTATTATGTTTAATGGAGGTGAATTATTTGTTGCTTTTAGCTGCCTTCAGTCATGTGTTGTATGGGCAGCTATATCACTTGAATTCAATTAATAAATAAAATCAAAGAATTATTTTTAAAGAAGTGGATCTTCTGGGATATTTATCTGGCTACTCCAGGCAATGGCCCAAAGGGACTTTCTTTTCATCCAACTAATTTTTCCTACTAATGATTACCAACACACCACAGGGAGGATAATGGACTAAGATTGGAAAAAGTTAAACTGTATCCATGATTTCCTCACTGGACCTCCTTCCTTGCTTTTTTGGCAATTGCTGTTTAACAGGTGGTTCTTCAGTGGAGTGTTTGTCACACATGGTTGTACCCTACAGCAGGAAGAGGCAGGCAACTTGTGTCCTCTGCAAATTTTGAACTATAGTTCCCATAGCCACTTTGTATCACCCAATATATTGTAATTAAAGCTGTCTGGAGTCAAGCCCAGCACTTTCTGAAGGCACGATTTCTGTCTTATTCATCTTTTAATTAAAATATGTTCTTTTGTTCTAAGTAGAGTTTCCTGCTTCCTGTTGCAATTATACAATTGAGCAGTAAAGCACATGGTGACTGTACTCTTTCTTTGCTCTATGTGGTGCTTTATATAAACAGAATTTCTAACAGTTTTCCCCAATCCTGTCCCAACCCTTTAAAGCAAGAGGTATCTGAATCACAGTAAAATCTTCCCCAGCCAAAAAAAGGGGAGGGGGGTTAGATTTGCGTGTAACAAAGGAATATATATGAAGAAGAGGAAAGGGAGAAGAATGTAACACCCGATTCCTCCTTCTAATCCTGCATTTTGATGCAGGATTATTAACCCCACTCCTCATCTCAATATTACACGTGGGGAGTGTTGTTCATTTGGGTCCCCTATTAGTTCAAGGAGCTAAGTCCCTTTTTTTGCTAAGAAATACAGAGAAAGCATGGAGTCAAATAGAACAGCTGGCATCTCTAGTTGCACCTTAGCAACCGAATGGGGTGGAGGGCATGGGAAGATGGTCATGTGTCCAAGGCCCAGGTTCCTATCCAGCACGTGAGATGAAGAAAAACAATAAATAAGACCAAGTTTCCAGATTGATATGTAGTAGCAGATCAAATGTTTCCATTCTTTATTTTTTTCTAAACAAAGGCTGAAGGGTACTGTTCAGTTGGTTGAAGCTCTTTTATTCATTGTTTATCTGCTAAAAGGCAGGAACTGAACAAGGTGAATTCATTTTCCCAGCTGCTTCTGCCTACTAGAAACACACATGGGTGTATAAAACTATCCCTTATTTTTCCTCCCCACCCCATGGAAGGAAAAAGTATCCCGGTGTAAGTAGTTTATACTAGAGAAAGCATGCAAAGAATTAAACTTTCCCTCTCTCTGCCTCTGTGCTTCAGTCAAAACTGAAGCCTTCCCTGCCTCTCTCTGTATTATAATAATACTGTTCCTCTGTGTTGCTACATCAGAATGTATTTGCTTCTTCCACCTACTGTTGAGGGCTAAATGAAATGTTCTCTGAGTGTCATATCTTAATTTTATTCTCATCTCGCAAGGATTGGAATGCATTTCTTTTGACTCCTTCTGACCCAAGTTCCACCCTATTCTGGGTGATTGTATACCAGGGATGTCAAACTCAAGGCCCCGGGGCCGGATCTGGCCTTCAGGGTGCTTAGATCTGGCCCGTGGGACCGCCCTGAAAATAGCAAACAGCCTGTGGTGCCTCTGCCAGAGAAAATGGAGCTTGTGAGGGTCCCGTGCGGCCCTCATGAGCTCCATTTTTGCTGGTAGAGAGTTGTAGGAGGCTGTCCCAGCCGAAAATGGAGCTTGGGAGCCCTTTTTTGCCGACAGATCACCCAGGCCACCACAGGCGTCCCCCAACACAAGTGATGTCATGCTGGCCATGTTCACTCTGGCCACGCCCAGCCCAGCTCCCCGAGGTCAAACACAACCCTGATGCGGGCCCTCAATGAAATTGAGTTTGACAACCCTGTCATATACCAATAAAACTAAATAACATCTCTGTTTTCTTGTATTGCTTTTAAAACTATTTATACTGTGCAGGAAACCCAAACTTATATTTTGTACGATTGTTCAAAGGAATCACTTCACACTCCTCGGCATGGCACACAATTTCCAGCAAGCAGAAAATAACCAGGTAGGAGTGACACAGACTGATGGATGAATAAAGGGCTTAGCAAGTCAGAGGGCTATAGTTTTTAATATTTTTAAACTAGCTACAAAATGTCAATCACATCACAAACTGACAGGAGACAGAAGGAATTTCATATTACATGCGGCAACTATATTTAATCTCACAGTTTTATCTAGAATTCATTCACGTAAGTTATTTTTATTTTGTTTTGTTTTAAAATCAATAACAGCTACTAAACATCGCCGTGATTTTGGTATGCATAGCTCTAGATAAGCAACAGAGAACTGTATTAATAACAAACCACATGGGGGAGGGGAGAAAAGAAAAGAAGAAAAGGAGTCTGTGTCTGTGTGTGTGTGTGTGTTTGTGTGTGTGCGTGCACGCCAAAGCGTTTGTGAGAGAGAAAGAGAGAGAGCTAGAAAGATACAGCCTTATAAAAATTACATTTCTCTGCAACATTTCATATGATAGCCATCCCTCCCCCTGAAAAAAGACAATTTTTGAAAGCAGCAGACAAACTCTATATATTACACTTATCTTATTTGCTGATGCTTTTTGTTGTTGTTTGTTGTTGTGTTTCAGCCAAATGTTTTTTATTTGCTGGCAATGATGAAATGATAAGTGCCAGATCCAATTATTTGGTCTTAAAATGAGGTAAACGAAAAGAACAAAAAAAAAAAAAGAGGAACCAACATCTTTATATGGAAAAATAAGACGGTGCTACTGCAGACTTGCTGGTATAACATAGTCCTGACAGGGTCCCAATACCAAGCATGCTAATTTTTTGTTTTCTTTTGTTGTCACTGATGTTATTACTGCCATGGAAAAGTCTCACTTAAGTTAAAGAGTCTAAAAGTCTATTTTTTCATGCAATAAATGCATAAATCACATCACTGTTTGCTTAGTGCAATGCTTGTTATAAGTTATATAATTCCACATTGTCTTATTATGAACTTAGAACAACGGATGACAGCAATGGAGAAACTGAGGGAACGTGGGGTTCTTAAGTGCTTAAACAACCATGATGTTCAAAGAAGAGACTTCTGGGTGGGCAGCTCTGTGAAATGTTAACAGTTTTACAAGAACAATACTGTATAGTTCAAGGTTTAAACAGCACGTTGAGCATTCCTACATTTTGTTTTTCATTTAGCAGAAATGTCATAATTTTTTTTTTTAAGGAAAAAGAAACAAACTCACCAACCAAAAATGGACAGAAAATGCAAGGGGTGGACTGGAATGAAGGGAGGGAGGGAGAAAGGGAAAAAAAAACCCAACAAATAAATAGAACATAGTCATGAATTATAGCCATTAAATCAGTACTATATACATACAACCTTTGGAAAGGAAGAGGTCTGGGAAATAAAAATAAATTTACAAGTATTATTTTTGGAAAGCTGACAACTTACACAGGACAACATTTACAGAGGGAAGGAAGAAGAGGGGCTGATATGTGCACGTATGCAAACCTAGTTGGTAAATACCATGAGAAAAAGCATGAGATTGCTGCCCTCGGGGACAGTGTGTGTAGAAGGATTGGCCCCTGGTTGCCTTTAACTGCTGCCCAGCATCTTTGTTGCACGTTGATTGGCTTCATCAATCCTGTTTTTGTTGGAAACAGCCTGGATTGGAGAAAAGAGGCATGGAGAAAAGGGGTCAAGATGGCAATGTTGTCAAGAAATAGAGTAAGAGATATCTGGGGATCCAGTCCCCAAAATGTGTGACAATCTAATGCAGGCTGTATTAATACTGAGTAGTAGTTCAAGAATAGAATGGAATGGAACGGAACGGAACAGAATAAGAGTATGGAATGGAATGGAATGGAATGGAATGGAATGGAATAGAATAGAATAGAATAGAATGGAATGGAATGGAATGGAATAGAATAGAATAGAATAGAATGGAATGGAATGGAATGGAATGGAATGGAATGGAATAGAACAGAAATAGAATAGAACAGAACAGAACAGAA